GCTTCCATCCACGAAGACTTCCCGCAAGTCAGCCCCAACCCGACACTCAGCCCCCGGTGCACGACTCCATCCTGAACCCATACTCCAAGCACTTACGTAATGTAGGGGCCTTATAATATGTAGAGTAGGGTTTTGGGGCTCCTTTTATAGTATAAACATCCTAAGGGACCCTAAGGAATAATATTGGTAACCATTTAGGCGTCTATTTTACACCGTTAAACCTGGTCAAACCCTCTGTGAAACCCCTGTCAGGACCCTTAAACATGCGTGAAAAGAACCCTTAAACCCTATACTCTAAACCCCTAAACCCTAAATCCTCAACTGTTTAGGGTTTAGGGTTTAGGGTGTTTTCAAGTTTCCCTCTGCCGGTCTGCCGTGGTTGCCACGCAGATGACCGTGCAAAGCAGCGTGAACCCGAGCCCCGACTGGAAGAGCAGAGACAGCACTTTCCACCTTTAAGGGCCCTTTTCAGGGTTCCTTTAAGGGTTACTACCGGGCGCTTTCTGCTGGGCTTAGGGCTGCAGTGGTTCAGGGTTTAAGGTTTAGGAGGGCTGATGATTAGGGTTATGTGGCTTACGAGGGTTTGATGGAAGGTGGCTTGCAAAAGGCTTGTTCGGGTGTTGGGCCTCGGCACTCTACAAACTTGACTTTGGACCTAGGTTGGGAATTGCCATTGTTGAAATCCTGGCGGATACCCGCAAGCCCTAAACCATCAGCGGTCGGAGGCGGGGAGGGATCAACTTAGCTGCACCTCCCGGCCGTTCGCCACGTGTGCGAGAGGAAGACGTCAAAGGCCTCAGAGTCTTCCGCTCGAGCTGTCAAACATGTCTGCTTGGGTTCAGCTTGCGTCTAGAGTCTAGACTGTACGTAGAGGTTTGGGTTTAATTACGGGGCATGTCTGAACGAAACAGTAGAGGTTGGATTGGTGGATCTCGAGTCTTGTCAGTTCAGCCGTGGTGTACATGCTGCTTCGTGCTGCCGGATCCGTGGACCCTAGAAGCCTACAGCCCGCAAGTGCAAATCTCGCCAAGTCCGTCTCCGCTCGCACAACGCTTCTTCGAAATCCACCCTAAACCCCCCCCCATCAGAGTTCCAAACTCATTATTTGAAGCACAACAACCTATGACCACAGGGCTTCCTTCTGTAATTGCAGCATGTTCACGCCTCTGAACCAGTTACACCTTCCCTCTTCAGTTGCTGAGGCCTTACAAGTAACATAGTGGCCTTATAATGATAAGAATAGGGTTCTGGGGTATGTTCCAGTACACCTACTATTGGCCCTAAGGGATGTCACTGATTGTGTAGACCCCTATGCAGGATTCAGGCTTGGCCTTAAATCGTGGCATTCCCGCCAGAAAGCCTCCACCGGCTCAGAACGATCCCAAAGGCTCGCCCGCTCCTCTGTGACTTGTGGGGAGGCTAATATTTGCACACGTACACAGAATCAGACACACACACACACACACACACACACTCTCACTCCCCAGGGCATAGGGGGGGGTCAAACCCCCCCGGCCTTTTGAGCCCCCACTTGTTATGGGGCTTTCGGGGGTGTGTGACAAAGTAGCTTGAGTATCGGTCGAAAAGTAAGTAGAATTTCGGTTGCCACCACCAGAAAGTAGTCTCCCCCGATTCTCAAACTGCAGTACGTACTTTGGGACGCCAGATTTCCCCCGGTACACCTGCTTCTTATTCTTGGGGTCACGAGAAATCAAACAACATAAGAACCAATAGATTTCCCCACAGTTGAGGTGTACAGAGGTCTTCTTGCAAGACAATTGGCTCAGTCAAGGCTTCTTCCCAGCTTCCTCTTGATCCGGTGAGCAGACCCTAGATGATAAAACCATGGCATAAGAGCACATGCGGAGGCTTCGACTCTGCATTGCCCAGCAGACTGAGGGACGTCAACATATGGAACCAGGTTACAGCTAACCGCTAACCCCAACGGGCCTAAAAGAAACACGCTACAAAACTAGACAAAACCACTGCATCCCCCTCAGCTGCGACATCAAGTATCTTTGCAATCTCTCTCTCTGATCGATATCTCCATACCAATTTATATGTCGATTTACGCATGCAGTGTGCAGCTCAGCCCATCCTCTTCAGCCAGGTCGATGGGGGACTGCCGCCAGAGTCTTCCAAAGTTCCGCAAAGTGGTGCGGAGGGGGACGCCACGCAGGATTTCTGTGTCCACCTTCGGTCGAGGTCTTGATGTTACTTTGGAGATGCATCGTTTCTTTGTAAGGGCCTTTTTGCTTAGCGACTTTACAGTGCCTCAGTGTATAGTGTAGGTGGGTGGGTATAGAGTTGACATTGACTGAACAACTAGAACTTTAGCGTTTGGTACATAGACAACCCTAAACCCCAAATGCTAAATGCTGCCCCGGAAAAGTCTCGAAAGCCTTCTGAAGGATCTCAAAAGGAGGATTCTGTAAGCTTTGGGAGCTCCAGGGGCTGAAAGGTCCACGGTTTGGGGGGTTTTAGGGGGGTTTTGGGGGTTTCGGGCCCTTTTGGGGGGCTTGACGGTTTGCTAGGATTTTTAGGTCTAAGAACGCTTCTGAGGAACCTTGGAGCTTCGCACAGAAAGCTCCCTTGGCCGAGGTATTCTTTCAGACTCAGCCAGCTAGCAATTCTGCGATCTCACCGCGCATGTCTGCGCGGAGCTGGGTTGATTGTGTTGCCACTTGGGGCCTGAAGAACCCTCAACCCGAATCCTACAGTTTCCTTTTTTTCCATTTTTTAGGGTTTACAGGGCTTAGGGGTTTAGGGGGTAGGGTTTAGGGTTTAGGCTCACCTCCAAATGGCTCATTTTCTCCATTCGGCTCCACTTGCTTGGCGTTCTCGTGGCGTTTTCGGCTGTGCTGGCGGCAGTGACGGCAGCATCCGGACACGGGTCACCGTCTTCTTCGGCTTTGGGGACCTCGCTGCTTAATCCGCAACAACAGCCACCACCACCAACCGCAACAATAAATACTGCTGGTGCTCCTGTTACTGACTGCTACTGCTACTGCTGCCGCTGCTGCCGTGGCCACTGTCGCTGCTGCTGTTGCTACGGCTGCTGTTGCGGCTGCTTCTGCACTGCTTTGCACAGCTGCTGCTACTGCTACTCCACTCCTACTCCTATAATCCAACTCCAACTCCAGCTCCTCCTGCGCAGCATGCTCCAGGACTGATAAGCCCGAAGTACCCAAATCAGGAATCTGCAAAACAGTCTTCGCCTCAATCTGAACTTGCTGGGTGAAATAATACAAGCCCAAGCGGTGTTGGATGAGCCTTGCAACCTAAACAGCAGCATCTGGCGCATCAGTGCAAGAAGATGATCCCCCAAACTTTAGACGAACACTTGTGTCAAAGCATCAACCTCTTCGCTTCAATCAAAGAAGCTGATCTGGTTGAAGAGTCCATGCTCTCGCCATAGGCGACCGCTTCGAGGACCTCTTTGGGTACCTCGGGCCCTTCGTCTGCGCAGCAGCTCGGCTGCTGGCCCATCTCCGAAGTCAAGGGAGCTAGCTGCCTTATTCATTCGATTAGAACAGGGTTTGTGGTTCAGTATCCCATGCCAGTACATACTATACCAAAACAATTTTATAATAGGGGGATACTCCGACACCTACATTACATCCTTCCGGATCCAGGTCCTTTGGCAACGGCCCTTCCGCGACACCACTCTGCATAAACCCGAAACCGGAAAATCTTGAACGGTTCAGGGTTAGATCCTGTTCGTTTCAAACTTGAGTCTCTTCGCACTAAACGTGCTAGACTGCACAAATCATAACCTGGGTGCCAGAGCCAGACTTAAATGTGGCTCTGGTGCTCATCGGTTGACAGCAAGATTTGTGAGGGGTTCCAATTCGGGCCTAGGGCCTAAGGGTACCTTAGTTTGGGATCCTTATAATAAGGATCCTACTATTTCAGGGTGCAAAATTAGGGTCCCCTATTTCGGAATGAAGGGCTTAGAGCTCCAGGCTCCGAGCTTTAAGGGGTAATGTTCAGCAGCACAAGGAACCTCTTCAAGGTTTGTGCCGTGCGGCTGCAGATCAGGAAGCAGGCGGCTTTTGCAAAACATGAGGCGGAATGCCGCAGCAAGAGATGTCTCATACAAACCCCCGGTGGCCTAAATCCCAAGACCAAGATGCTTCCACATCGCGCTATCTTGACCCCTTAGCCCTAAACCCCACGCGCGCTTTTACAGCTGGGACTCCCTGGGTCCTTGTCCCTATGAAACCTGAGCCCCTAACCTGCTGCCCTCATCTTCTAATGAAACCTCAACCCCCAAGGACTGAGTCCTCATCGCAGAGAACGAGGATCCGTGTTGATTCGGGGCTTGACAGGTTTAGGCCAACCCTAAACCCTAAACTCGGTAAACCCTCAACCTCAAACTCCGTAAACCCTGAACCCTAAACCGAGTTTAGGCTGTCTATCTTCAAGGCCTGCAGGGCTTTATAGGGGCATGCTAGGCATTTTGGTGGAAAGCCGAAGCCCTGCCGAGCTTCAGGATCTTCCTACAATAAACTGGCCTCACAAGTATATGCAACTGTACATTTATATCCTGTAATCTCATTATGTCTTATTAGTATATGCTATGTGCTATAATGTGAGCGTCTGTGACACGTCCGAAAGCACCTGATAACCCCAAGCACGCACCTTCTTCCTCTTCTTCGTCTTGGTATCGCAGTTGGTTCGGCTGCCGATCTTCAACCAGTTACAGCAAAAGGACCTTTCACGATATCATAAGAGCCATTACATAACGTCTCACATGACTCCCTTGTTCTTACGAGCAGAACACAAGGTGCTCGGGCACTGAACCCTGAAACAGCACATGCCAGAAAACCTTAAACCTTAACCACATAAATTCCAAGCACAAACCCATGGAACTCGAAGCTTTGCATCCCTCAGCCCTGAACCCTAAACCCTATGGTTTGGGGTTTCTACACCCAAAACCCAAAACCCCCATAACCCCCTTTAGAGCCCTGCAAAGCACAAACAAAATTTGTCCCCGCCTCGGCCAAAAGCTCGCCGAGCACAGCTGCGCCACTGTTTCCGGACCTGGCGATGGACACTTCGCCATGATGCCTTAATTGTAGTCTTCCCATAATATGACTATTGCCTTAACATCTTGTTGTAGCCTAATTACTGTCGCTGATTGTAATACTGCCGGGCCTCTGAAAAAAGGAGGCTTACATTCAGGATACTGCCGTTTCAGGGTGTGACAATGGTGTCCTCTACATATCGGTACCACTTCATGTGAGCGGCAGTGATGGACTATAGTAATGCCTAGGGCTCCAACTACCTAAATGATGAGTTGCTGGGTTACATGTTATTATTATCTGGTTAGTAATCTAGTGGTTAAGTAACCAGTAACTGGAGCCCTAGGAAATACCAGCCCGCACCCCCATGCTCGGGAGGGCCGGGGCAAGAGATTAGCCATTGTTTCTCCGGGTTTTGTAGCCCTAACCCCCCAGGTACCTACTATATAGGGTACTAGAGCCCCTAGGGCCCTATATAGTAGGTACCTGGGGGGTTGGGTAGTTGATAGCAAGAGTGGCCATAGCATGCACCAACCGTGGCAATCGTTAACAAACAAATCTTTACCGGGAACGATCGTTGAGTTTAACAGACAAGGGCCCTAAACCATAAGCTCTAAACGCTCGTCAAGATGTGCATGACAGGCAGGGCTCTTGAGCTTTCTGTGCAGGTGACATCGGCGGCGAGTGGCTGCCAGCTACCCCGAGCAATGGAGCTGCGAAAGATCGGAACTCTTTGTCCTTGCGTTGTCGAACCTGATTATGCATGCATACTAAAAATAACGATAAACCTAAATATAAATGTCTCTATGCTCTATACATATATACACATGTATGTATGTATGTATGTATGTATGTATGTATGTATGTATGTGTGAACAAGATTGCATCCGCATATTTGGGATCCTCTCCGAAACAAACGGCGGTGACCATGCTGTCAATTCCCAGGCTTTTGCTGATCATACCTGTCATGGCTTTCCATGTCTTAGCGAAGGAACCTGATAAAGGATCATTCAAGCGGACTCGGCGGGCTGCTGCGAAACCGCCTGCAATTTTTGGTGATCACTGCATCATCACAGCTCATCTTGCACAATTCGCTGGGGATTTCATTGTCATGGGCCACCCTAGGAACCTCGAAACTGATCACGGGCCAAACACAGGGATTCATTCAACCAAATTGACATCTGCGCACCGTATCCAGGCCCTGGACCCCAACAATCCACAGGACTTGTATCTGAGGCAGCCACTAAATTTGTCAACTAGAGCCGCAAATCATGATGCCCGCTCCACAAGAATCCAGATGTCGGCCAGGTACCAAAACGGCGCCTTGTCTGCCACTGCTGATCCGAGAGCAGGCCCAGCAATGCAGGCGCAACCTTCTGGTCTTAGGCAGCGGGTTGAACTGTGGCTCATAGCTCGCGCTCTCTCTCTCTCTCTCTCTTTCCCTGTCCCCTGTCCCCTGTGCCCCAAATGCACTCACTCACTCACTCAATCACTCGCTATCTCACTGGCTGACCGAATGTCTCACTGACTGCCTAGCTGACTGAGCTTTTTCGAAATTCGTAGGCTTCGCCGGAGCTACATCCGAAAAGATCCCACCTCGAAGCACCCTAAACACCCTGAGCGGGCCAACCCCCACACCCAAACCCACCACCGGGCTCCACGCGGCAGAAATGCTTGGCCGTGGGCGCGCTCTCGTCGGAGGCTGTCTGGGTGCAACCCAGCCTAGCCGGACATCCGAACACTCTCCCTCTTCTCATCTCTGCCTTGCAATGTGCCCCTTCTGAACTAGACTCTCGTAGCTTAAAGGGTTCAGGCTCGGGGTAACACAACTCAGTAGTGGTCAAGAGCACAAGAATACAAGCAACAAGCCACTCTGAAGATCTGATGGTGTTTCGAGCACAAACGGCCTCGATGAGCCAGTACCAAGAAACATACTCATGCTTTACCTTTCTTACGAATAACAGAGGGTGGACGTAGGCTCAGCGTACCAGATGCTTGGAACCTGACAAGCGACCGAGGAAGGACAGGAAGAACGGTACTGCAAAGGCGCCTAAAGCCAGAAGACACAAGCCTGAAGGAAGGAAACGCTGGGGAGGAAAGCCGTGAACACGGAATGGAGAACTCTCGATCAGTGTGGCTGCTGAGGGTTTGCCAATCTCAACGTCCTACCCCAACATCTCGCTGCCAACGCTAGGCGCCCGTTGTCTTTGGCCTGGCATGCCGTTGCCGGAGTTGCGCGCTGGCACGAACCTTTGTCTGGATAGAGGAGCAACGTTGTCGATGGGGATCTGTCCTGGTATGTGCTGTCCTGAAAGGACGACACCAACAGCATACAGCAACACCAAAAGGCTCGCAGTTAGTCATTGATTGAGGCAGTGTAGATGAACTTGCCTCACAGCCGCATTATCATAAATGGTATCGACTTCCAGCAAATGGTTCACACTACAGCCAAGTTATTGAAGCTTGAAGCCCTTAAATTCGAAATTTGCAATACTGGCGACACATAATGACACCACAGCAGTGAACTCGCACACGCATGCTGCTGAAGCCCTAAAATGCCTTGTCGAGCCTGAAGACCCATCACACCCTCTAGGACCCGCTTTGTGTAGTAGAGAACCTTTTATAACTATGCACCCGTTTATAACACAGAACCCTTTTGGAACCCTTCCCTCAAAATTGAAAGAAATGAATTCTACGTCTCAGGCTCCGCGCCCAGGGATCTTTGGACTGGACACTGCCGGAGGCTTCTCGACCGGAGTGCCCTCGCTGACCTCGGCGATCTGTAAAATAGGGGGTCAGGATATATATATATATATGTATATATATATATCTATCTATCTATCTATCTGTGTGTATTATACTGTAGGAAGTGCTCTCAATTATTTCTTTTCAGGGCTCGCTTCTCCTATGCATTACAACTTGATCTTGGGGGGTAGGATTTAGGATTCTCTTTGGGGTTTGGCATTTTGAGGTCGGATGATCTCCTCTCTCTCTCTCTCTCTCTCTCTCTCTCTCTCTCTCAGGCATTCGAAACAAACCCTAAACCCCAAACCCTAAACCCTAAACCCCAAACCCCAAACCCTAAACCCTGGATTGGATGATCTCATGAACCCCAAAACCTTGAGGCTCAAGGCGCTGGGGCTCACGACCGGCCTTGAGGATGAGCTTCGGCTTGCTACGCCTCTCCCTAGGGCCCTAGGGCTTAGGGCTAAGAGGGTTATTGGGTTATATGCGATATATATATATATACACACATATATATATATATGTATAATTAATCAATAATTAATAATTAATAAATGAATATAGTTTTATTATTAATTATACATATATATATACACATGCAGTTGTTATATGCTTAGTAGGAATGCTGTGGAGTCTGAAGAATCACTACTGGGTTCATGTCGTAGGAACAGACGGGCAAGACAATGGAGATCAGCAACCTAAGTTGGGAGCCTTAGAATTCTGTTTATACATAGCACGCACTCATGTATCAAATCTCAGGTATAAGATAAAGCAGACTCCAAAGAAAAAGAGATGCAGCTGAAGTCCGATCAAAAGGCAAAGCGCAGAGGATTTGCGGCCAAGGGTTTCGGATTCATCCAGTCCTCTGCAGGGAAAGGGCGTTCAGGCTCGGGATTGACAGCAGTGGGTTTTGGGGCTGCGCGGCCTCAGGGCGTTTCGGGATTTGCAGTGGGATTTTGGTAGGAAAGGTGCGCTGCCAATGCTGTCAGCAATGCTGCGGCAGTGAACTATAGAACCGAAGGTTCAGCCTCTCAAAAAGTATGCGCATTACGTGTATATCTGCGCGGACATACCTCCATAATGCGCATACATGTATAGCTTGCTCACTTTCGCTCTCTTTCCCTCTCGCTCTCTCCCACTGTCTCGCAATCGGGAGTCTCTCACTACGATTCAATTGTTAAACAACTCGTCAATCTCAAACACAGTTGGTGTCCGGAAGGATATGGAGCACGGTCGCATGGTACACACCTGCTTTGAGGGATCTGTCAATACAACTGTACACAGGCGAAGGGGTTTCAGCATACGCCCTAAAGCCCGAGTAGCGTAAAGCCCGAACCCAAAACCCCCGAAGCCGTAAGACCCTAAACCCCGCGCTCCCTTCCATCCACTTTCGATAACCTCTTGGAGCCTTGTTACAATGACAATACAAGATGACCGAGGTGCCGATAGGTGAAAGGAGGAACCCCCTGAGCTTTTGCCGAACTTCGAGGACACAGGGAATCTTGCGAGGATATGTGGGTTCGTAGAGGGGGTTCGTGGCATAAGGGCGTGTGTCGACAAAAACAGAAGTATATCATGAACTATGAAGATCTGGAATTACACACGAGTACGGACGCTTCATGCTGAAACCCTCAGCCTCAAATGCGCATTGCGAGGCCCAGACCTTCAAATCCGAAACGCCTGCGGACCCAAAGCACTTTGCCCTGCTAAGTGTTCAGGGAAAGTGCAGTAACCTCTTTACTCCATCCAGCCAGTTTCGCCCTGCTACGGGTTTAGGGTTTAGGTTATAAGTCAGAGCGGCCAGCTAGCGCAGGACTGAAGTCCTCCTCTTCGTCGGGTGGTCGAGGGGGCCGACTTTCACCCATTTGCGCGGAGTACAGCCCACCTTTAAGATGCGGGTCTACGGTGTAATATAATTCAGTGCGAGCTATGGAGTAGGATTTTCGGGGTTTGTATTATGGTATGATACAACGAGGAACCATATAGTGCGGTCGCTTGCCGTACCGATCCACATGACACAAACAACTGCGGAACAAAAACACCTGAGCTTTCCCAAAGTCTGTCGGTATTCCCGACTATTCAGAGCACCCTCTGGGCCGTGATCTCGAACTCATCGTGCGAAGCGCCACATGTTACAGCAAACCTTGTGCACGTGGTTCAGATTAGCGCAAACCCTATTGTTTAACGTTTTGAACTCATACACCATTCCAACATTTCCTGAATTCCGCAGCTCACGTCCTCACGACAGCTCTGAACCTCCGCACATTGGGGAATATACTTATACTTGCTATGTTCGCCCTTGAAGCCAGATCCCTTGCCGAGATGCCGCTGAAATCTTACCAGAGCAGGCATGTGAATTCTACAACCCGCTAACACTCAGGGACTCCTAGCCAAAGGATGCGAAGTATGTATGTGTATATATATATATATGGAAGACTAGAACAAATTCACATAGGTAGCAATTGCCCGTATATAGAAGCCCTACTCAGGACCGAAGATTTGTTAGTCACCGCAGTGCTGAGCCAGGTGCTGCGCCCCTCTCTAGGATCAGCCCAGAGCCTGCGTTCGTTTCAAGGTTTAGGGGTTTAGCGGTTTCGGCTTATGGGTTTGGGACTTTTGCGGGTGGGGGCTGATTTCAGGGATTTGTGTCACAGAGCTTTAAAGGACCCTGTACGCTTTTAAGTGCCGTGCTAGACCATACTTGAAGGACAGCGGCGCGGGACTTACACTTTCGGCTTCGGGCTGTGAGCCGAAGTGAAAGCCTGAACCCTCCCTGTATGCCACTTTAGTTTAGGGTTCAGGGTTTAGGGTTTAGAGTTAAGGTTTATAGGGTTTAGGGTTCCGTACTGTCCCCCGACTCGTGATCAAGAGAAGTACTCGAACAATCATTGAAGAAGACAAGAGCGAAGAGACTTCAAGTTAGTAAGCATTAGTGCCAAGCTCTTCCTAACGCTGAAGATTCGTGGTCGCCACATCGAGTGCCACAGAACTCGGCTTTACACATCATAATCCTCTCCTCCGCCTCCTTCGCCCCCTCCTCCTTCTTCCACCATCATCAACATCATCACCATCATAACGAAGATTTTCAGGAGCAGCATATTCAACCACACAATCAACGTGTACATCGAGAGCGAGCCACATCCAAGAGTATATAACCGTCTGCAGAAATCTGCTCACATCCGGATCATCCCTACCCCGAAAGAGCTCCTTCCCCAAGCACCACACCCAGGGTTTTTGAGGTTTTTGGGTTTTAGATTTTAGGGTTTAGGAGTTAGGGGTTTGGGGTTTAGGGACCCTAGCCCTAAACCAAGAAGCAGCAGACTTTACCCCTGAGGCTCCGAACGGAGTTGCCAGGCCCTTCTCATGCTTGCCAAGCCCTTCGCCCTCCTCTCTTTGCAGGATTCAAGTTGCTAGGCGCTAAGAGGTTGAGCAGTGGGCTCTTCGCCTCGAGGGCATCGTAGTTGCTGTTATTCATAGGGATTCCGATTCCTGTATAGATTTGCCGGACTATGCAAGGTTTGAAATCACAGGGCCTTGCGGCTTGAAGATGAAGGGACTCCAGGGCTCAGGAAGGACTCAGCGAATGGCACAGAGTCCGCAGTTCGCTGGGTTAGAGGAGAAAATCTCGGCTCATGGGTCCGAGCTTGGGCTCATGACATGCATGAAGACTCCAACACCTCTTAAAGCAAGTCTTGTGCCGCATGAGGAGATGGCAGGGCTTAAGCAGGCCTCAGCAAGGTGGAGGGTTAATGTAGGGATTTGACCGGTGTAAACTAATTCTGCATGCTTTTTGGATGTCACGAGCTTAGGAGCTAGGAGACAGGGTCAGAGAATGTCAGGGAATTGGAGTTCAGGCTGACGTGGTGGAATCGCGGGGCTCGGGCTCGGGTCAAGTTCGTCATCCGCCGATACCAGTAGTGATATTCATTTATTGTGCTCGTCATGATGGCCATCCTGGTGAAGGCCTACAGCTGACCCCTAAACCCAGGCAGCACCCACGCCTTCCACCCGAACTTTTGGAGCATCTTAAAGCCGAACCCTTCTTGGATGGGCCGGTAGAGGACCTGGTATAGGCATCGGCAGATCCAGAGCAAACAACTTCTAGGAGCCATAGCCTTGGGTTGAGTGTCTAGCGTTTAGCGTAATCGTGTTTTCGAGTTGGGACTTGGGACTCCAACACATTCGAACCGCTCTCCGGGGAACATTGCAGCCACGGGTTTAGGCATACAGGCGCCTTAATTGTTAGAACAGGGGTCCTGTAAGACTTCCTGTTGAAGGGGTCCACAAAGTTTACTTAGACTAGAGGTACAGTATACTACAGATAATGATGAGTCGATGGGGGCGGGTGACTAGGCTTCGGGGGGGCTACCGCAACAGAGTGTTGGCTTGCAACTTGTGTAGCTCCAGTGGTGCAATACATCCAGAGTTAGACTGTAGCGTGACTTCGGGTACAAGGGGCATCAGCGACAAAATCGTCTCAGCAATGAAAACCTGAGATTCTCTATCAAGGTGGCAGCTGCACAAAGAGTCTCGTTATTCGACAGCACAACAGGCGGAATTTCACTACTCCTGGCTCTCTCACAGTTTGTGGCTTGTCGGCTTTCAGTTCTTATGTCGGTAAGCCACGTAAATCCCAAAAGCGAACGTGACCTCCTACATCCAAACCCTGCATCCCGGTATACTTCCGGTTCCGGCTTAGTGTCTACAGGGAAAAGCTCCAGGGTTTAGGGTTTAGGATGAAAGATTCAGGGCTTCGACTCGCATGCTCGCACAAGCAGCCACGGCTTCAAGACCATCGAGCACTCACACCGAGGTCTGCTATTCAGTCACCACTCACCCGCGTTTGACGGCAAACCACAAAAGTAACTTCAAAACTGAAACACCGCAATAGAAACCTCAAAACTGAGGTTCAGGGTTTAGGGCTCAAGGTTTAGCGGTTGAGGGATTTTGTCAGCTCGAGCTGTGAGCCTCCTTGGCCTCCAACTTCATGCGCTTGATTTGGCCTGGCCCACAAGAAGTCCGGGCCCGACAGAATCATGAAGAGGGTTTAAGCTTAGGGGTTAGGGTTTCGGCTTTGGGGTTCGGGTTTGAGCTTAGGGGTTTAGGCTTTAAGCTTAGGGGTTTAGGTTTTAGGCTTAGGGGTTAGGGTTTAGGGTTCCTTGATTGAACATCATAGATGCCAGAAGCGAATAGGTCCAAATACAGAAATCTTACACACAAGGCCTTTGCCCGAAAACTTGATCCGGGTGGCTTCAGGTACTAATGGTTCTGCGACGAGACGCATCATGTCCAAAGGAATGCTAGCGAATGCTGGCAAAACACGCAGCTAGAATACACCCTAAACCCCACAATTAGGCACATTGTGCTCGTCATGTTCAATAACTCTACCGAGTCATATAGTGGGGTTTGATGACTTTGTAGATTTCAATATCCCATTTTTGTGAACATACAATTGCGCAAAGAGTATCCACTCCAACTGTGTCCGACCTGGGTTAGGTTAGGGTTTGAAGATTTCAGTGTTTGGAATGTAGGGTTGACAAGTTGACGCTGCAGCGTTTTGGGGAAAAACGTAAGCATGCAGCACGCTCAACCCGACCCCACGCTGCCTTTCGTCACGACCTCGGGATCGTCACACAAAGACTCACAAGATGGGTCTTGTAGTGAGGAGGGCAGAGGACCCACAATTATCAGAAGCTACCTGTCTGACATCGGGACTCGGATAGACATCGGGGAGGGCAACTCTTTTGCCTGGAGGATCTTCACTAACCGTAATACTCAGGAGTATGACCTCAAGAAAAAAAGGGGGCATCTGCGCTAAGCGTGTGGAGCCGTGGCCTGTCCAGGGACCTCCTTACGACTCAACGCGGTTCTGCCAGTACAGGAGAAGGTATGTCTTGGCTGTGCTTTTTGGACCTCTACTGGCCCACCGCAGGCACTGCATTCGCGAATGATTACAAGACTTGATGATGTAGATGCACCGTGCCGATACTTAAACAATCTTGAACACATGATCGAACGAAACCAAACACAAACAAACACGAAGCTGCGACAGGAATTCTTCAGGTGCCAATTACAGATACAAACCTCTGCGGAAGATCGACTGGTCAAAAGCGAGGCTGATTTGACTCGACGCTACTGTGGCCACGGCGGTGACTTCGGCTTGGCCCCCCCGCGCAAGCGCACGACGTGAAGTTACGAGATGTGGCTTCAAAAACAAGGGACGCAGACTGTATAGGGCAACGCTTCAGAATGCAGCCGGCGGTGATATATTCTCGCAAGCTGCGGTTGCCATTCTTGGCCAATGTTCTAAGCGCAAGCGGTGATCAGCAGCTCAATCTCCCGCTGAAAATTGATCGGATGTGAGATGCCGTCTATCTGACGACTCTGCCCTGACCCATATTCGTTTGATAAGGGTTTAGAGCGGTTGTGGGGTTGGGGGTTCGGGGTTTGAGGTTCGGTACGAAAAGAAAGAGAACCGAAGGTATGGGAAGAAGGCATTCTGTATGAAGCGACTCAGGAGTCTGAGCCCATGGCCGTGCTCTCTGCTGTCTCCCTCTCTACCTTGCGGAAGGCTTAGAGCTTTGTCATTTTAGAGGGTTTACTTAGGGCTTCGGGAAGTTACTATCTACATTCTGCAAGCGACCCTACGTTCACATGGTTTGGACAATAGGAGTTCCAGCTATAGTCGGAAGAGTTTTATAATTCTTCTTCACTTGGGCATTTCAGGGTTGAAGGTGCGAGAAGCCAGGCGAAGAACCAAAGTTTCTGAAGGGCCAGGGTTGTTGGGTAAGTGACTTGGGTTCTTCCATTCTGGACAGTTGTGGGGTATTCATCATGGTTAACCTTGAAGGCAAAACCTGAACCCTCCGGAATTGGCCTTGGGTTGGTCGCCAGCAACAGGGGGCATGGATGACGTGGAGGCTTTGCTCCTGATAGCAGTCTACGCAGTACAACAACCCCATTATTGGTGGCAGCAGCATCACTCTCAACACGAAGCTGGCTTATTATCTCCTCCCAGGCTGCGCTTAGCCATTCACGTGCAGCATAGACCCTGAATTTTCGACCAGAGCGGAATGGGGAGACTAATTCGGTTCAAGTGTCGGAAGTCAGGGCTGGAGGCAGGGGGTCTCAGCATTCGCAGTCTTTCGGGCTTGAAAGTCTTTTGGATTTAGGGTTTGTGGTATGGAGCTTTTAGGGTTTTTTTTCCCTCCCACATAGCTAGGACAAGCCCGCATTGCAGGGTAGAGCTCTTATAGGGTTTAGGGTTTAGCTTTTAGGGTTTAGGGTTTGGGGGTTTAGGGGTTTAGGTTTTTTAGGGTTTAGGAGCTGAAGGAGGTAGTGGGAGCCTGGGACCCCGTGTCCTGAGCGCGGCATTCTCTCGCCGAAGCTTCTCCAGCTCCTCGGACTCTGCGATAGAAATAAACAAGTTGAGGGCTTTTTGTTCGGGCTTAGGGTCTTAAGGTTTGGGCTTGAAAATGATTTGTACTAATATGCACTATACTACTGCAGAACTAGCTAAAGAGGCTGAATATTGCTGTCCTGCCTACCACTCCCACATGCCATTTGAGCAAATGCCGGAGATTCACGGGCTTCGGGTTCCGGATGCCTCAGGCTCGAAGCAGCTAGGGTTCAGGAGCTTGTACTTTAAAGCGTTCGATGCGTAGCTGTGGCAGGATGGTGGGCCAAGAATGTGGAGCATGCTGGTTGCTTAAGACGTGCTGCCCGAGGATGCCGTGTTGAAGCCAAAGACACCAGAGCCTTAATGCGACCGCCCCCCGACCTGTGCTATGTGGGCTCTGGATGATGAGATGCTGGATCTCAGAACAGTCATCTGGCAAAGCTGGGAAGCTTAATTTGACCCGATGCCAAAGATAGACTCTGGGTCACCATAAGCCCTATACAGCCTAAATGCCAAGCCCTGATCCCTTCTTTCCTGGTGCAGATTTGTCGTTGGATCTGCGTCCGGCTGCGGGGCCACCTTGCATGGGCAATGTTTTTGTGGGAGAGGGCTTAAAGACCCAAGACTCAGTCCTGCACTCACTCCCTCTGATCGGGTGTTCGGAGTCGGGTTGAATACTGAGGGCTTGCAGCAGGTTGAGTCTTGACATATATAGGATGTACATAAGGTTTAGGCAGTGTAGCTTGGACAAGCTAGTGGGGTGCACCAGGACTCAGCCTGCCACAAGACACACCCAGAAACCCTCGGCCCTGAAGCCGAGATCTAAATCCAGCGGCTTGTGGCCTGACCCCCGTCTCCGGAGCATCCTGCAGGGGCAGCCACAGCTGTCTCCTGCAAGGTACGGTTCCGGGGCTTCTTGAGGGTTTAGTTAGGGCTGCTACGGGCCGGGTTTTGAGGTCAGGGGCCTCAGCATCATGGACACATTTGCTTCACAGGGCTGCGGCGGTTTTATGGCGGATTTTAGGCTAGATTTAAAGGCGCAGGCCTCCAGTTCAGAGTCTAGGGCTGGGTGGCGAAATAAAGATGTCATATGAGATGTCATAGTCTGCTCGTTCGCCTTTGCTCGCACGTGGGTCGGGAACTTACGCCAAGCGCATAGTCCGAAGCCTTCAAAGACCCACAGCCAAGCCGCCGCGAAACCCCAATTTCAATTCAACCGCGTGCTCCGATGGTCTACAGGTTCATGTCGACACCTTCACGCCCCACCCGAAATCCAAAACTAAAGAGCTCTGAACTGCACACTGTAGACCCTACACAGACACAAATCGTATTCTGAGCTCCGTGAGCCCATGGAAGCCCCCATAAACCCTGCAAATAGTGAACCACATAAGCTCCATAAGCCCGGCATAAAAGCCCCCCAAACCCTAAATCTTCCCTAAACCCTCAACCTAAACCCCGTTTTTCAGCACGGACTGAGGTGCCGGCCAGCGATAGACCCCTAAACCCCAAACCCCAAAACCCTGAACCTCTTGCTAAAAATCCTATAGACCCCTAAACCCCATAAAAGGCCCCCTAAACATCCCTAAACTAAACCCTAAACTTAAACTGGCCCTATAGACCCTAAACCCAAAACATCCCTAAACCCTATAAATGCCAATAAACCCTAAACCCTCGCTGCTAAAACAGAGGCCTGGCTTTCCAGCTTCTGCCGCTTCGCCTGCGGCTCCTCCTCCGCCTGCGCGGTCGTCGAAGAAAAAGACCCTTGAAAGGGTTTCTCTAAAGATGCCTGTAAGGGCTCTAGAAGAGAGTTCTACAAGAGCTATATGGTTTTTTGAGGGTTTTTTGGTGGTTTTGGGCTTTCCGGCAGTGTGGAGACTAGAGGGTTTCCAGGTTTCGGAGTTTGGGATTTGGGAGTATCCATGGTGCGAACTAATCCGCCCAAGACTCGGTCGACATCCCAACACCCTGAAGACTGCACCCTCCCTCAACCCTAAACCCTAAACCCCCCCAAAAAGCGTGTGCACTTGCGCCACACTGTGTGATTGCGGTGGAGAAGGCTACTTGGGGTTGAACTGCTTTGCAAACTAAGGTTATCTGGCGGGGGCGAGGCTATTGGCAGACGTTGTGACCGCTTCTCGCCTTTTCAAGACTGAAGCAGAGCTCGGGGTTAAGGTAGATTGGTGTATGCACCAGGTTCGTCAGTGCTGAGTGTAGAGCTCAAATACTGGCTCCTTGCAACATACTAAACCCTAAGTCGCCTTCAGGCACTTAGGGCTCAGGCAAGTTTGGCTTGAAGGTCTAGCCGGGGATCCCCTGGTAAGAGTTCGGTGCGACTTACTTGTCAACCTGGGCTACTAACGGAAGAGCTTGATTCGAATCGAGGGCTTCAGGTGTCGAATCCGAAACCTACATTACGCCCACAGGAAAATCCAAGCAGCGTGTACACCGACCAAGTTTTGACTAGGAATGTCCCTGCAAAAGAAAGGCCTGAGAATAGGCTGAAGAAAGAGCTTGCCCTTGTCAGGTAGCTTTAGGCCAGACCTATGAAGCAGCGTGAACATATTAAGACCAAGATGATGATCAAAGAAAACACTCGACCCCTGC